GGTTGATGATTAATTATCTATGGTTACTGGTTGATGATTAATTATCTATGGTTAATGGTTGATGATTAATTATCTATGGTTAATGGTTGATGATTAATTATCTATGGTTAATGGTTGATGATTAATTATCTATGGTTAATGGTTGATGATTAATTATCTATGGTTAATGGTTGATGATTAATTATCTATGGTTAATGGTTGATGATTAATTATCTATGGTTAATGGTTGATGATGAATTATCTATGGTTAATGGTTGATGATGAATTATCTATGGTTAAATGGTTGATGATGAATTATCTATGGTTGATGGTTGATGATTAATATCTATGGTTAATGGTTGGATGATTAATTATATGGTAATGGTTGATGATAATTATATATGGTTAACCGGTTGATGATTAATTATCCTATGGTAATGGTTGATGATTAATTATCTAGGTTAATGGTTGAGGATTAATTATCATGGTTTACTGGTTGATGATAATATCTATGGTTAAGGGTGATGATTAATTTCTATGTTAATGGTGATGATTAATTATATATGGTTAATGGTGATGATTAATTATCTTCTGGTTAATGGTTTGATGATTAATTATCTATGGTTAATGGTTGATGATTAATTATCTATGGTTAATGGTTGATGATTAATTATCTATGGTTATGGTTGATGATTAATTATCTATGGTTAATGGTTGATGATTAATTATCTATGGTTAATGGTTGATGATTAATTATCTATGGTTAATGGTTGATGATTAATTATCTATGGTTAATGGTTGATGATTAATTATCTATGGTTAATGGTTGATGATTAATTATCTATGGTTAATGGTTGATGATTAATTATCTATGGTTAATGGTTGATGATTGATTATCTATGGTTAATGGTTGATGATTAATTATCTATGGTTAATGGTTGATGATTAATTATCTATGGTTAATGGTTGATGATTAATTATCTATGGTTAATGGTTGATGATTAATTATCTATGGTTAATGGTTGATGATTAATTATCTATGGTTACTGGTTGATGATTAATTATCTATGGTTATGGTTGGTTACTATGGTTGATGATTAATTATCTATGGTTAATGGTTGATGATTAATTATCTATGGTTAATGGTTGATGATTAATTATCTATGGTTAATGGTTGATGATTAATTATCTATGGTTAATGGTTGATGATTAATTATCTATGGTTAATGGTTAGAAAGTATCTATGGTTGATGGTGATTAGTGGTGGTGAATGGTGATTAATGATGGTTAGTGATGGTAAATGATGATTAATTATCTGGTTGGTGGTATACCTACCTACCCCTCTGAAAAATGATGGAGTGAAAGTCATTTGGGATGATGACATTCCCAACTGAATGGAAAATTAAAATTCATGTTCCAAACCACCAACCAGCCACATTTGAACTGGATAGTTTGTATGAAACCTATCAATACTACCAAATATTACCATGAACATTAGGGACTTTACCATCCAAAAACTAGAGGAGATGTGGAGGTTCTACCATGAAAAAGATGTTTTTTCAATATCAACATGGGGATTGAGCCATGGCCATGGCTATAAATTTTATTGGTGCTTTGGGGTAACGGCCCTTACATAAACAATCATTTAGAGTAACGATGTGGTGATGTTCTTGCAAGTCACCCAGACCCACTGCTTTGCTGGTGTTCACTGCAATTAGCATATATTATATTATTTATATATATATTACCATCAATACATCAGCAGGATGAATGTTTTCTCAACTCATCATGAGATGTGATAGCGCAAACAAGTTTCTGGCATAAATCACAAATAACATAATATACGGAGGTTTCCTAAAAATAGAATACCCCAAAACCATGGGTTTCAATACTAACATGGTTTAATTTTGCACGATTTGGGAGTGCCCCCATTTTCGGAAACACCCATATATAATATATATATATATATATACAGGTATATACAAGTATATACAGGTGTGTATATATATATATATATTCAATCATACATAATTATGTGCAAATATAACCATACATCATTGTGTAATATATAATCCAACACAAAAAAAATATTTATGTGTGTATATATATATGTGATATGTATAAAGGGTATTTGAACAGCAACAACCTGGGATATCATAACTATATCATGGGGAAAGTCACCAAGAAAAACCCTGGTTGGATCCTCACAAGTGTCGCCACGTGGATACCCCAGTTGACCCACCCTGTTAAAAATTGGATTTTACCCTGGATTTTATATCAAACAAAGAAACAAACAAAGAAACATGGGATTTTACATCATGTTTTTTTCAGTGACTTTACGTGACATATTATGATTTACCCAGATTTGTCACAATTTTTTACGTGTATTCCCAATCACCCGAACATGGGAATACACACTCGTCTGGGTAAATCATAATATGTCACTAACCTGAATTGTTGGGCCGTAAAAGGGCGATGATTTCCTATATCTAAACCATGATTCCAGGCTTCGGGAGAACAGTGAGGTCGTTATAATTTACCCTTAGATTCATTGGAGTAATACTGTAACAAATTTGGCCAAACTTTGGATGGTGCTTAGATGTGCCTAGGTTTGATACTAACCTGGTTGGTGGTTTCAACCCCTCTGAAAAATATGAAACTCAGTTGGGATGATGATGCCATTCCCAATGGAAAGTCAATCCAAACTCCATGGTTCCAAACCACCAACCAGTTAATGATGATGAATGATGATGAATGATGGTGATTGGTGATGTGGATATAGTAACATCACCCAGCATCTTTGGCTTTTGGGCCGTGAAAGGTTGGGACAATCCGTTGGAACGATTGCAAGGGCGAAGGGCCCGTGGGTGGAAGCCGTGGCTTCCGCGGTAGCGTTTTTTGTGTCCAGTTTGGTCATTGGTTGCACCAAAAAACACACGTTGTTGGCGCATCTTCGTGCTCTTATCCGCTAGTTTCGTGCTTTCATCATTGTTTATCATATTTTTCATGAACACAAGAAACCATATTTTATGCTTTATCCGGTAGTTTATCATATTTTATTTATTCAGTTTTCAGAAACCATCTACACAAGAACCTTCATGTTTTTCATGTGTTTTCCCCATCAAACATGAGGATTCAAGCAATGGTTGGACCATGTTGGACCTTCATTTCCCTAATGACACATGGCCAATATCACTGGCCATGTCAGGAACCGATTTATTGGAGGTACCTACCATAAATAAGGCCTATGTAAGGGCTGAATTTCAGGGAATATCACCAGAATTCATATGGCCAAACATATGGTACGTTTACGTACCTCCATAAATTGGATCCTGGCATTCCCATTGACAATATGCCAATTCTATGGGGTCCAAGCCACACCAAGCCGGTCCCCAAGCCACTTCACTGGGTTGGAGCTCTTTCTCGTGCAGTTCCATCAGCAAAGCTGAAGAAAATTGCCTGCTTTGGTAAAGGGCTGCTGTTTTGTGATAAGGGCTCCTCGGGATTATCACTCAAAGTAGCTGGGTGGGTAAATCATGAACACTGACCTGAACTAAACTAAGGTCATTTTGGGATAATTAGGATAATTCACCTTATCAACCATCATTCCAGTGTCACAACGTGAGGTCACTTGAATTTACACAGTATGGTAAATCCAGCTGGTATCCAGATTCTCATTTTCTGTTTGATAATCCAGATTATCTATGGTAAAATATGGATTGAAACATCCTTACGCACGATTGGATCTATGAAGATCTGCATAACTGGCCCCTTCCTGCGGCATCTGCAGTATCTCAGCCTGTTCTTTGAATTGCTGTTTAAGACCTGTTGATTGATGATACCCAATCCAACTGTAGATGCATCTGGGTAAATTATAACGACCTCACTGTTCTCCCGAAGCCTGGAATCATGGTTTAGATATAGGAAATCATCCCCTTTTATGGCCTTAAGTCAGGTTAGTGACATATATATATATATGGGTAAAGTCACCTGAAAGGCCATTGTAGGTATATATACAACCCATATATATTTAGTTTATTTACCCAGCCCAATCGAACTGTAGATGCAATGGTCAATCTGTGGGTCACAACAAAAAAGACTCATCCTTTGCCGAAGTCGGCGATTTGCGCCAACAACACTTAAGGATTAACGAACTACCTGTCCACCTGTCCACCTGTTTAAAATAAAACATATGAATCACATACAATGTGAGGCCCCCAAGATATATAAGTTGGGGGCCACATAACTCCAATGTCACGAACTGGTTTATGGCACGCAAATAACGAACTAGTTACTGGGGCGAATCTAAACCAACGTGCACATCACTGGGGGGGCTCACATTGTATGAATCATGTCCATCGAAAATCCACTCATTATCATATAATCCAGGTGCATGACTATTAACTGAGGCCCGCTGGTTGATGTGATAATGAGTGGATTTACGATGGACAATCCAGCATACTGAGAATATCTATATATATATACATAAACTATCATAAACCGCCTTCTGTAAATGGTATCTACTACCCCTTGGTTAACCATCCCATAATATACCATACATGGAGCATATGGGCATTACTAACCATGATATGAACCATTCTCTATCAACCATTGTTAACCATTATTAGCTCAGTTTATGGCAGATTCCTAGGGATGGCGCGCCCATCCATCATCCCAGGTTGAGCTGGAAGTTTGAACAGCAGAAGCAGTTGCCGGCTCTGAACGTTCGATGACGCAGTGACTATCCACCCTTAAAACATATATATATATATATTTATATTATTATTAATGGTTAGAACACATTATCTAAGCTTACATGATAATCTATACTATGTATGGGACATAAACGTGTTATAACCAAAAACTCTATATATACACATTTGATATATATATATATATGTGATATATATATATATAGATATCATCCTGAAGTAGATAGAATATTGGATGTTCAAAAATATTCCCAACTTTGTGATGATGTCTTCAAATATCCATATTCTATCTACTTCAGAATTATCATATACATAAAATGTATATATGGAGGTTTCCTACAATAGGGGTACCCCTAGTTCTCATCCATTTCCATAGGATGTTCCATTATAAACCATCCATTTGGGGGTACCCCCATTGTAGGATACCATATATATATATATATATATCTACAATGTGAGGCCCCCAAGATGGCTAAGTTGGTTTATAACTCCAATAACTATGGTTTATGGTAGTTATAACTATAGTTACTGGGGCTTTTGTTCACCAACGTTCACATCGCAACGGGGGGCCTCACATTGTATAGACAACATATGAAAAACCATGGGTGAAACCCTAGAAACATGTTCTAGAAATGACTGGGTGCTCGACATCTATCTACTTGAGGGTGTTCGGGAACCATTCCAAGACTTTCGTTCTTTTCGTCTGACATTGAGATTTCCTGGTTCAAAATCCTGTTTTTCGTACGTCGGACGAAGCTGGAACACGGGATCTATCCTGAATTCCAGAAACATCTGGGGATTTCATGGGATATCATCGGGAAATGTGAATTTTATGGGGGATAATATATGGGGATACTATTTTATGGACAGCTTCTTTTCCTTGGCATTTTGCGATCCGATAAGATTCGTGGAGTTGCTGAGTTGCCCCATGAAGTTGAACCTCTGACCCTCTGGTAATGATTCACAGTTTGCTATTGACAATGGCCATTTGTAGTTGATTTACCCCTATTAAAAAAGTGATTGTCAATAGTTGTACATAGTTATTGACAATTGCCATTAAAAGGGTGATTTGCCATTGAAAATTCCCATGTATAGTTGATTTACCCATTAAAAATTGTGATTCTCCATAGTTATGTTAGTTTACCAGAGGGTAACATGTAATAACCCTAGTATGATTAGTTGGATGACATCCAAAAACCATTGGTTAGATGACTAGGGTTTTTTGTTATTGGTAATTACCAATAGGATATCACTTGGTCTCCGACCATTGTCCACCATCGCTACATGCTGCTATCGCCGCCTCAGCACTCAGCCGGCACAAACCACGGCACCGCTGGGGAATCGGTAACGAAACAAGATCTACAAAGTGGGGCCCCCAAACGATAGCTAAGTTGGTGAACATAACTCCCATTAAACCTATGGTTTATGGTACCTATAACGAACTAGTTAATGGGGTTTATAAACCATCTTATAACTGGGGGGCCCCACCTTGTATAAATCAATGGGAGATCTTCAGGATCCAATTGATGGAGGTACGTAAACGTAACATATATAAGGCCATATGTTCTGGGGATATTCCCTGAAATTTAGGGCCTTATATGGTAGGTACCTCCAATTTAAGATTTAACTAACTACCTGTCCACCTGTCCGAAGTTTAAAATAAATCAACAAAAATCACATACAATGTGAGGCCCCCAAGATATATAAGTTGGGGGCCACATAACTCCAATGTCACGAACTGGTTTATGGTACGCAAAGAACGAACTAGTTACTGGGGCGAATCGAAACCAACGTGCACATCACTGGGGGGGCTCACATTGTATGAATCACGTCCATCGAAAATCCACTCATTATCATATAATCCAGGTGCATAACTATTAACTGAGGCCCGCTGGTCTATGTGATAATGAGTGGGTTTACGATGGACAATCCAGCATACTGAGATTATCTGTATATATATATACATAAACTATCATAAACTGCCTTCTGTACATCGTATCTATGAACCCTTGGTTAACCATTATTTACCATGATATGAACCATGATATATCAACAATTGTTCAATGGGAATTTCAGGACCCTAAAATGAAGGTACGTTAGTACCATATGTTTGGCCATATTTTCTGGGGATATTCCCTGAAATTTAGGGCCTGAAAAATAAGCCTTAGGTAGGTACCTCCAATGTTTGGTTCCTGAAATGGCCATTAATATAAAGGAACTTCTTAGATCATGGGAAAAGGATCTATCAATAGAGCAAAAGTCCAGCATAATCCAGCAGACCATGTTTGATTTCCGGGTGGTACCACCGATGAGGGGCAATGCAGCTATGTTTATATGTTTTGTGTTACCCATCCAAGTGTAGATTATGTATATAGATATTTGATAATATATATATATATATATTTATACATATATTATAATATCCACCATAAATCCAACCGTTGGCTTAGCTGTCAACTATAATACCAGCCTGCGACTTAGGACTTAGGCCATCCTGGTGACATAGGAGTTAGCGCAACAAGTCCTAAGCCACTGGTGTTCTTACCAGGTGATTTGTGTGCACCAAGTCCTAAGTCACTGGGGCTGTGATTGGACTCAAGCACTTTTTTCGGTTGAAAAAATCAAAAATCTTCTCGGCACAAGCCCTAAGTCAACAGAAACTACATACTTACATTGCATTACAGTGCAGTACAGTAGATTACACTACAGTACATTACATTACAGTAAAGAACAGTACATTACATTACACTACAGTACATTACAGTACAGTACATTACAGTGCATTACATTACATACATGCATAGGGTTTAGGACTTGGTGCACAAAATCGTATGTCACTAAAGGGGCACAAGTCTTAAGTCATCAGAACCTACATACTTACAGTACATTTCAGTACAGTACAGTACATTACATCACAATACATAATACGTTAAACAAAAATATATAACCAGAAGGAATAAATATAAAAAATAGTCCAACACTATTTCAAAAATGAAAAAATGTAAAAAAAAAACAAACAAAAATATATCTATATGTTTTATTTATGTAATTGTTTTAAAATAATGTCTGTATGTAAATCAATGGAACAAATGAAAATCACATTTTTTTTTTGAAATATTTTTTTGAAGATGGGCACAAGTCCTAAGTCATCAGTTTTCGCAACGGTTGGCTCGAGGACTTCGCCCCAACAACGGGGTAGTGCAACGGGGTAATACAACGGGGACCACAATAGGGAAGCACAACGGGGAAACAAAACGGGAAACAACAGAGAAAAGTGAAACAATAAAAAATGTATGTCTTTTTTATTATTTAAATTGCTTTAAAATTTAAAATAATGTCTGTATGTAAATCGAAGGGAAAAAATGAAAATCACAGAGCGTGATGACTTAGGATCATCCTAGTCAAGTACTATGTCATCATGGTTTTACGAGTGTTCCATGCCGCACTAAAAAATCAAACATAGTTCCTGTCCTAATCTCATACGGACACCTGATGACCTAGGACTTGTCCAGGGGGGGTCCGACGCATGATGACATAGGACTTGGCCACCCCAGGGTATCCTTTACTAGTCCTAAGTCACGGGGGGGAAATATAAATGTCCTATCATTCAGGGGCCTTCCCGCACAGAGGGACCTCAACTGAATAGGCCCAATACTCAAGCATAATTTGGAAGAGATTGTACAGGGAAGCGACAATGTCACGCCTAAGTCATGCCTAGCATGTTTTTGAATGGCATTTACCATTGTGAACGCTGTATCCAAGAAGTCATGCCTAAGTCATGCCTAAATGCTTTTCTGCATGGAACGCTGTCCTCAATAAAAGTGTAAACATGCATTTTAGACATGAAAAACAAATGAAACACAATGGAACGCGATTGATGAAAATATTGATTTTCTACTCTCTTATAAAGTCATTCTCGTGTGCAACCTGCATGTCAACGCTGGGATTATGCATCATTATTTTTCTATTCTCTGGGTCACTTCCCAATACTACTTTGTACTACAAAGCTTGCACAAATGCATGTAGCTACCTAGATGGGCCATGAAGTTAGTTAACTAGTTAGTAAATGGATTATTTCATTGGGATTTTTTGGGGGTAAACAAACCCCAGTTACTAACCAGGAATCGCTTTTATCAAAAATGGCCCATCTAAGTACGCAGAAGTTCCAAAATCGGAGAACATGTTGATTTTATGCGACGCCTCCCATGAAATCAAACCAGTCGATGGTTCCAAGAACCCATGTGAAAGCGAGGATACCTGCACCTTGATACCTTCGCTTCGACCGTTTCGAGGCAATTTTCAATGTGAATAACCCCATTATTCCCTTGGTTCCATAGCTATGAATCCATCCTCACATGACACCACCTGTCAATTCATATGGCCACTCTTAGATGAACTGAAACAAAGATATGCACTTTTCACTGGGTAGCGAATATTCCCATTAACATCACAATAATGCGAGGCCCCCAAGATATCCAAGTTGGTTTATAACTCCAATAACTATGGTTTATGGTACTTATAACTATAGTTACTGGGGCTTATAAACCAAACTATAACTGGGGGGCCTCGCATTGAATAGTTTATATCAGTTATCAATCAAATGAATTACCCATCCAGTCAGCTGACACAGTTCCCATGTCAGCCATCAAGACACTTGCAGTGGACAATTTCGCAGCTGGTCAAGATTCACCCGAAAAAAAATAACGGTTGTGCTTGCTGCTGTGATGCATTGTTCGCCCAGTTCGCATAAAACCACACTATTTGGAGTCACCTCATCCTATTCAGTTGATAATCATCACCTTAGAACCCACGTATATATCATGTCGGCAAATCAGGACAAATCATGACAAATCGACTTAAATACCCATCAAACATCATTAACGCAGCATGTCAAAAATCGTGCCCCCATGAGACACGGACATTGATGGAAACCAAATCGTAGCACACGTCTAGCTGCCTCTGCAGAGCGATCGATGGTGGAATGGCAACCCGGCAACCGTTGTTGGCGTTGATGAGTCCAAACGAATGTGGATGCTTTTGGTGGTGCCCCTGTGTTCGCAAAATCGCTAAGTTGGTGAACATTACTCCAATAACTAGGGCTTAAAGATACATATTTACTCCATCAAACAACCATTAAATTTTGGTCGTTTTGGTTTTCTGCCCGTTTCGGAAAATAATGGTAATTTTGCCCGGTTTGGGCCATTTCTGCGCGATCTCAGTTTTTTCTGCCAGGTCTTATTTCCACACTTGGAGTTTCTTGCCACATCACATCAAATCACCCAAACTTCAGCAATTTCTGCCGGTAAAGGTGCAAACACGTCTGTATTGTTGTAAAAAAAGCAGGTGGTGACATGAATGTGACAACCGTGAACATCTTCCGATGTGATCTCCGTCTTGCCAACACCCCCAGCCTCAGTCACTGGGCCATGACAAAGAAAATCATCTTAAAATATCTCTAACTGAAAAGCACTTCTATACCCCCTTCTCAAACGTAGAACAGGGCCTCATGAAGAAGAATCTGATCCACTAAGTGTGTTGAAAAGCATCCCAAGAATGGCTACAGCTATGCAGTCAGCAATCAACCTATTGGTGTGTCTGCGAGTGGCTGACCCACTTTGCTAAATCAAAAGAATTTGCCATTTAAACCTAGCTTTGCTGCGATAAAATACATTTTGACAAAGCACATCAGGGCAGAAATCCTGATGTCCGCCCGTTTGCGGGTTTTTGCGTGCGAATTGCGGGTTTTTGCGCCCGATTTGCGGGGTTTTGGTCCGAAAACAGTTGAAAATTGAAGATTTGCTGTTTTGCGGGGAGTTGCTGTCCCAAATCTGCGGCTTGAATACGTGAATCATACGTGTTTTACATGACTGCCTTAGGTGTTGTGAATAACGCCAATTAAATAGTTGTATGCGTGAAGTCCCACACGCAGACAAACACACAGCTGTCTCAGATGGTACAGATTTGCGAGCCAGAATCTGAACAACACGTGTCATACAGCATTGAAATTTATGCCAATTGGCATCCAATCCCTGAACAATGCACCAACTCTGCGAAGAATAAAAGAAAAAGCAGAGCGGGGGCTCAGGCCTGAAAGCGCAGGCCCCATGGATCCAGTCAAACACGTCAAGGGTCAATCAGTGCTACAAGTGTAGCTATGGTGAAAGAAAGTGAAGTTATGGGATTGGGACACCATGGAAACACATAGAAAATTAGATTTCAGCCAGATTTCAGCCATTTTGGGTCGTTTGGGTTGAATTGCCCGATCTGACCCAAAATAGGTCAATTGGCTAAAAACAGGGTCATTGACCAAAACAACATTTTTTTTCTGCCCGTTTGCTGGTCCAGGTAACACAATATTATATAAAATATATATAATTATATATAGACACCATATATATATATACACATATACATACATATATTAAAGAGGTTTCCTAAGTGTTGGGGAGTACGTACCCAAATAATCCATTTGAAACAACGTCCAGCGAGCTTGGAGTAGCCCCACGACTTCGGAAGCCCCTAACAGGTCTGGGGCCCTGGGGCACCAGCGTGTGGTTACTGCAAGCACCATATTCAATGCTTGAAGCAAGGTGAATTGTGTTTGGAACCCCATTTTGTCTACGTTTAGATGTGGAAAAGCTGAAAACCAATGGTCTCGGACAATGATCTGCTGGTAGTTTTTCCACATCTACGTGAGTTTACAGGAGTAAGAGAATGGCCCATGTCACCTTGAATTTCATGGGTTAATAGCTTCATGCCATGCCAAAAATCACGAGCCATGGAAACAATGGACCTTGCCTCATCTGGGTCAAGAAGGACAAACCAGAGGCCCAAGACTCCTGGTCTGGACAGCATTGAAGCGAGGCAGGTAGAACAAAAAAGTACTTAGATGGGCCATGGAGTTAGTTAACTTGTTAGTAACTGGTGTTATAACCCCAAAAAAATCCCAGGAAGAAACAGGATTTTTGCCGATGGGATTGATGGGATCTAGCAATTATGATGAACATATGATGGGTAACCGAAAGAATCTCTTACATTCGTGCAGTCAGGTCACATGTTTTTTCTGCTAAAAATGGTCATCCATAAAGAATAGAATTCCTATTCACATGGTTCCAACTTAAAATCCCGATGAAGATGGATTGATAAGCATCCCCCAATATGGATTCTCAGTTTCATGGTGCATATCTGGCTGATAGCACTGTCCTGAATTCTTTTTGCTGTTCTCATACAGCCAGCTATGGGGATGTGTCCCCCCCCCAAAAAAAAAACACATTCCAGTGACGGAAAACGGCGTGAGGACATTATAATTTGTCCAAGTGTAGCATCATCCATTGGTTGATCCGGTGATTAGTTAACAATTGCATCACGTTCCTTTAAGTGTCCATTGGTTTCTTGTCATATCTACCATGTTCCAGATGTATTATGTACAATATAATATACCATCCAGTAAATTAACATAGACCCTGCCAAATAGGGGTTGGAAGATGAGTTTCAACTATGAATTGGTCATTTTCAGGGTCTGTCTATGAAAAATACCCCTATCCCATCTCATAATACTGGTTGGTTAATAGTTATCCCTATTATTGTGGTTTATTGTAATCCCCATTAAACATATTAAACCAGATAGTATAATCCCCTCAACATATTGATATTATACTACCTGGTGGCATTAAACATATTATCATATGGCTATAAACCATAGTTGATAGGTTTATATAGGTTTAATGCTATATTAAACCCATATGCTCCATGGTGCTGGAATATGCTTACCAACATTTGCCCGAACAAAATCACCCAGTCATGTAGGTAAATATACCAGCACCATGGTTCGCATATGGGTAATAACCTATCAACTACAATGTGAGGCCCCCAAGATATCTAAGTTGGTGAACATAACTCCAATGTCACTATGGTTTATGGTACGCAAATAACATAGTTACTGGGGCTTTTGTTAATCAACAAACATCACTGGCGGGCCCCATATTGTATTTTCAACGGCTCCAGATTCCAAAATCACCGGTGCTTTGGCTTCTCATCGAGGCCCTGGATAAGATCAGCACGACAGGATGAACATGGATTTCTACAAGAGAAACAAAGAAATGGTGTATTGAACACTTTACCATAAGTATATATATATATTAAATTAAATGGTAGATCCTTTAAGGCCTCTCATATGCCTAATTTTTTTTGACTCATATCCACATATCCAAAAACCCTACTTTCACGGTTTTCGCACAAGCAATGGTATAATTGCATTCCCGACCCTTTCATTTCCGCATCATGTTCAAGACATAGGATGGAATACTTGGGTCATGATTAATGAATGGGATCTACTTGATGGAATGGGTCATGATTGGGTCGGATTTCCACATCATTTTCACATTTTGATTATGAATGGATTATTTGGGTATGGTCATCCATGTGATTCCTGAAAAACCATGGGCAATTTATCAAAATCCCTAATAAAATGGCCATGGCCAATCAGATCTTAGATACCCCAAAAAACAAATGACTTAAATTCTTTGCTGCAAAGAACGTAGATATTCCCAGCCAGATACCCTGCAAGACTAGGATTAGTTTGTAGCCATCCAGTCGATGGGTACCCTAGATTCTAAAAAAGGTGAATCATCTATAAATGGCCCATAGCCCATAGACATAGATGGTTTTACCTATGAAAAATGTTGGTTTTCCCCAATGAAAATGGCATTGACCATCCTCTTTGATAACATGAAATCCCACATGTAGTTTTTTTCATCTCAGGATCACCATTCAACAAGGATGGCTCCAACGATCACTAGGCCAACGATTATGCTAAATATCTAGATAATTAGTCAGTTTATATCAATAGTATAAACAGCATTATTTCTACCATTATTTCATGTTTGTGCTGTTTATGTTGCTAGATAAAAATAGATTATATTATGGTAGAAATATCTAGCATCTGCCGCTCTGAACTGGGCAGCGCTCTCGCACTCACGTCCTCCTTGAAAGATGAGATCACGGCGTTGAAACAAAAGAGGTTCGACTCCTGCGGTGACATGGGGAAACCCAATAATTATAAGCCATCCCACTCCCACTAAAACAATCAACATCTATATGATATCATACTTACATTGTTGGTTATACCATGTTATACCCTTATACCCCATTATATCCCATTAAATCAACAATTTCATGATTAGTGTTGTTGCTTATGACTAGTACGGTATCGCAAGTACATCCCACATCATTTACTTCCATTTGAGGGGACCAACATGGATGGTTAACAGCCAACACAATTGGAGATCCCCAACAAAAAGGGGCTCATTACTAAGTCATGGTCATCCATGACTTGGACGGGGGGAATCCACATGACCTGGGAAACCTCCGATTATCCCATTACCATCTGGTTATTTCACATAGCGAACTGGAAAATCCCAATCATAAATGGAGGTTTTTCATGGGAAAATCAGTTGTTTCTATGGGCCATTTTCCATAGCTAGGTGAAATAAGCAGAGGGTATATGTAAAGAAAGGAAACATGACGGAAATGGACCAGTCCGACATCATTGATCCAAGACTTGGGCAAAGAAAAAAAAAACGCTTGAGGAACCCTTGTAACCCATAGGATCCATCGTGCTGCTATATATGGTGCTCCATGGATCCCATCAATATACCCCCTTTATGTTAGCTATACCAGCACCATGGATCCTATATGGGTTATTGCAAGCCCCCAAAAAGATTCCGACAAAATTGGACACCCGGAAACTATGCCGGGGAAACCAACATCCATACCATCCTTAAAAAAGCACGGAAAATACGGCAACTATGCGTCCTTTTGGGAGTTGCTGTAGTGAGGACATTTTTGGGTTGACCTACAATGTGAGGCCCCCAAAATATCTAAGTTGGTTTATAACTCCAATAACTGATAACTATGGTTCATGGTACTTATAACTATAGTTACTGGGGCTTATAAACCAACTTATAACTGGGGGGCCTCACATTGTACCAACCAAAGGTTGGCTCATTTTTTTGGGTTTGCAGCGGAAGCCACGTCTCCAGCTGTGAGAGACTCAGCTGCTGCAGAGTTAGCAAGGAATCACCTGAAGTGGAACAGTGGCACCAGAAAAGGAATAAACACCAGGATGATCCGTATTAGGGGGGGTCCATAAATGGAGGATCCCCATTTATGGATGGTTTATAAATGTTTACATATATATATATTATATATAATAATAATGGAAAGGTGATTTAGGGGCACCACTATTTTTGAGGAAACCTTCATATAAATATACAAAAAAAAACACATGATAAATTCTAACCCTCAAACAAGATGTCAACCAGTATTTCCGGAACCAAAAAAGGGCTGGTTCGATGTGAAATCAAGTGAAATCTGAAAAAAAAACAAGTTCGGTGTCCAACTTCTCGGTACCTGGGCTTGGTCATGTTGGGATTATCTTCCCCGTCCCTCATCATCTAGACTTCGCCCAGGGTCAGGGCGATTTTTTTATTCGTAAGAACACGTCCATTCCGTGTCATGGTCTAAAAGCTATTTTTGTTCTAGTCATAAGTCACAACTTCATACAATTTCTAAATAGATTTTGGTAAATCATGGTATATCACATTTTGGGATAAAGTATGATAAAGTCATATGAAACCGGCGATAAAGTCGGAGAACATCCATGTCCACCTCTTGTCTCAATCTCAGATGCGAACCATGGTGCTGGAATATGCACAGCCACACTGGTTGGTGATATACCTACCCCTCTGAAAAATATGATGGAGTTCGTCAATATTATCCCAGATGTTATGGAAAATACAATTCATGTTCCAAACCACCAGTGATCAAAATGGCCCAGTTGAGGTAAATCTTCCAGCTGGACCATTGGACCATGCTTCGCTAGTCTCAGTCTCGGAAACTCTGGGTTTCTCACTCCAACGTGTTTCTTTTGCCAAGGCCTTGGTCGCCATGGGCTATGGCTTCCACTGCATGGCCTTTATGGCTCAAGAATGGGATAGAAATCTGTGTTGGCAGTTTTGGGTCTTAAGAATATTTGATGATAAGATATGGAATATGAATGAATATGACATGGTTTTTGGAGTTTTTGAACAACTAGGCTCCAGACATCTCCAGACTGTCCAGACTCCCTGCGAAAAATCTGGTGCTTAATTTGTTAGGCCAGGTATCTGGTGACCCTGGATCGTTACCATGCACAGTCTCTGGTAATCAAACAGAAGCAATGGAAAAAATCACGATTTACCATCTGGTAAACTAACATAGCTATTGAAAACGGCCATTTATAGTGAGTTTTCCCAATAAAAATGGTGATTTTCTATAGTTATGTCAGTTTACCAGAGGGTAGAGTTGATTTTCCCACTGAAACCTTCATTTTTTTCAGGGATGTTCAATTGCCATCATGATTGCCGGAGGGTGTAAAAATTCATGATATAATGATCAAGGTTGTACGCAACCCTAAATCGCGAAGATGCGTATTACAACCCCCATGAAATGTAGTGATATATCTACCATGCACCCTGGTTAACCTAGCTGTAAACCATTTTTTCGGATTTTGTTTTTCAATATGTCGAAGAAAACCAATATTCATTGGTCAAAAAAGTAAAAAAATGATGCTTAAATCCCAACATCAGATACCCTTTGGGCTACAATGTGAGGCCCCCAAGATATCTAAGTTGGTTTATAACTCCAATAACTAATAACTATGGTATTTATAACTACAGCTACTGGGGCTTACAAACCAACTTATAACTGGGGGGCGTCACATTGTATCATACACATACATTAAGTATAATTAGTAACAAAAAACACATGATTTAGTGAACAACCAAACTACAAGTAAGTACCACCACTATCACTACCACCACCACCTCCACCACCACCACCACCACCACCACTACCACTTCTACTATTTTTAGAAAGTCTGAGTAAAATGCAATCTCAAAGAAGTAAACTTAAGAGATACCATAAGTTTGAGATGGTTTATTTGGTTATCAAGTTAGTTTTTGAGATGGCTTACTATCTTATGAGTTTTCTTGGTGATGTCTACTATCCTCGCGTCATTTCATTATGTTATGGTTCTATCTTTTTTGGGGAATACCACCACATGTTTTCACACGCAGCGGGGAAAACGGACCTAAGGGCTGGACATTGATCGCAGTGCTTTCCAGGATCACATTGATCTCTAACCTGGCTGCGGTACCCCCTAGTGGTTAAAACCTATACTGATGGTCAATCCCTCTACAATCACATTTGTTGCTTTATAAACTGTGTGAAACCTAGTTCGATACCGATACCTATCATGAAACTTCCGATAGAATTCACATATTGAAAAAAACCAACGTAGCAAAAAACCGAACTGGTGCAATTCCGAACTAGTGTTTGCCACCTCTATCCAACGCTCACGTGAGCCAAGTTGGTTTATTAAATGGTGTTTGCCACCCCCAAGTCAAGTGCAGCCAAGAACCATTCGTAGTTCCAACCCCCAAAAAAAGTGCGATACCAATCCATTGGACTCAAAAAAGTTCACGAGCCCATTGGGATCATCGTGCCAGGCTGCCATAGATTCGAAAACATCTAATTGTTGATTTATGAATATATACATATATATATATATATACGGGCTTATCCTTAATATTGGATCAACATAAATAGACAGTTGGATGTGCTTGTTGCCAATTGTTACATATGTATATATATATATATAAATACGTTTATGTGTATTATATTTATAGTTTATGTGTGTATATATATATATATACAATAAATTCATGTTGGTAATCATATAATAATTAAACGTTTTACCACTATTGGTCATGTATGGGTTCGTCTGAAAATTACTCATAAATCCACTGGTTAGTACTCACTTTCCCCGTTAAAATGACTGTCGGGTATGCTCTATTCTCGGAGACACCCAAAAAATCCATATATTAAATCATAATCCATGTTATAATCATGGTAATGACATAGGGTCCATGGTTATTAAATTATCCCTATAATCACATAGGGTTATGACACCAGATAATCATCGTTGGTTTACATCACATGGTTATCAAACAAATCCCTATATCCCTATGACGTGGTTAATCATAATTCCCACATTGTTTTTCTCAACATTGCCAATCTTAGATACCCTGCAAAAAAAATAAATTCTTTGCTGGTGAACGTGGATATTCCCATTAATACCAAAAGACTAAAGGATTAGTTTGTATCCATGTAAGATTGACCTAGTCAATGTCTGACCCAAAAAAAAAACAAAAAACTCCACCCGGCAGCGTGGCTAAGCGAGATGCTGCGCTGCGCTGCAGCAGCCCAAGAGCCCGCAGGCCTAGTGTTGTCGGTTTTGAAGATGAAAAAACATAATTTTACATACAAATAATAGTAGAGAAAATGTGAACAACACCACATATGTATAGTAGAAATACAAAATCATAGTTTTAAAATGTTGGTGAAAAAATATTCCTAGTGTTGTCGGTTGTGTATGTCTTTAATGCTGCATCTGTGGAATATTTACCAACATTTTACCAACATTAATACCCCAAGAGTTGAGGGATCTAGCCAAACAATGGTTTATAAACCTCATGAATACGAGGTGTATCTCCACAATCCCTGCATATTCCTGCTATAATTCAACTAGTCACCAACTTAGCGAACTACCTGAGACCCCAAATAATCAAATTACCCTCTGGTAAACTAACATAGCTATGGAAAATCACCATTTTTAATGGGAAAATCAACTATAAATGGTCATTTTCAATAGCTATGTTAAATTACCAAAGGGTATATGAAGTTGGTTATTTCAGTAGCTCAACTATGGTGCTGTACATATCTGTAGATAACGGGCTTTGTAAACCAACTTAATGGGGCACCACCTTGTACCTGGACGGACCAAAAAGTGGGATTGCATCCAACCAAAACGGGAGTTTAGGCAACAACGAATTAGGATCTCAGTCCGCATGGGGATTCAACTCCGGAACATTCAGAAAGTATAAATAAGATTAAATGTACTAAAATTGAGTGGTATATCAACCATCAACCTCGCAATGACGTAATTCTGTGGTAAGTTCGGCCATGGTTCAAAGGTATGTGGTTAAAACAACTCAACTTGAGTGGTTTTACCTCAGCATCAACTAAGAAGTGATCTGGTCATCATAATTTCCTGCGTGGGATTGAAAAAAGATGGGTTTCGCACAGTTTCACAACCTTTGACCCATTTTTTGGGGTCAGAAACCCAAGGCTTCCGTTGAAACTTTCGCAGCTGACCTGTGCCCACTGGCGACTTCGGGCGCAGGCGGCCGCGGAAGCGCCCCAGGTGATGACATTGGGTTCCTGGCAGGAGCTCATCTTAGTAAAGCAATAAACCATTAGTTTTGATGGCTCTATGGTTATGATGGTTTTGTTTTGTTTAGTTCAGATTCGGTGAATTCTGCGGAAAAAAGGTCGGTGTGTTTCCATTGTTATCCCATTCCTATCCCATTGTGACTCATATCAAACCATACATTTCCTGCAATGTGGGCGCCCCCCCAAACGTTATGTTAGTTGGTTTACATTCACCCCATGAATACTAGTTCGTTATTTGCCATAGAACCAGAGTGAAATTGGAGTTATGTGGAATGTGGACCCCAGCTTAATGATTTCGTGGCCAGTTATAAGTTGGCTCATAAACCCCAGTAGGTATAGTTATAAGTATACCATAAACCATAGTTATTTCGAGTTATGTTCACCAACTTAGAGATTTCGTGGCCACGGGGGCCCCACATTGTACCATCCATGAAGGTGGCCCAAAAAAATGGGCATGGTCATTTCAGGAACCGATTTATTGGAGGTACCGATTCCATATATTTTTGGCCTATTTTTGCAGGCCTAAATTTCAGGGAATATCCCCACAATTCATATGGCCAAACATATGGTACTAACGTACCTCCATCAATTGGATCCTGAAATTCCCATTGAACAATGGTTGATAGATAATGGTTCATATCATGGTAAATTAATGGTTAACCAAGGGTTAATAGATGTGAATAGATACCATTTACAGAAGGCAGTTTATGATAGTTTATTCCCATTGACAATGCGCAGGGTGGATCCTGGAATCCTATTGCTCTACTGACAGTTGCCCAGCGAGCGAACGAACTAAAGTGGATCTGATGGGAACTTGGGAATATCCACAACGGGTACCGACATGAGGACCCAGAGAAAATAAGTGGTTCACTCTCTTCATGGGCTTCTCACAAAAATTATACATCATCGATTCCCATAGGATCTATGTATGCCATATATGGTAACATGGATCCCATCAATAAACCCCAAATGTTAGCATATATACATATATAAATATATACCATACATGGATCCTATGGGAATTGTGATGAAACTTATCTGACTGTGTAATAATTCACTAAGCTGAAAACTGGTTGTTTTTAATGTTGGGCCAGTGCGATGATTCCGCATCATTCCAGTGACGGAATTTCGACGTGAGGTCATGATCAAATTCATCCGTTGGTTCAGCAAACGCGTTTCCATCGTGTCCAATTGATCAACATTTGCCAAAGGAGTTGGGGGATCTAGCCCACAAGTTAAAGTGAAATTCAAAAAAAAATATGGCCAGCAGTTTCTGGTTGGTGGTATACCTACCCCTCCGAAACATATGAAAGTCAGTTGGGGTGATGAAATTCCCAACTGAATGGGCAAATAAAAAATGTTCCAAACCACCAACCAGGTTTTGATAGCGAAGTTGGTCTATTTACCAGTTCTATAAATGGTTCTACATGGGAGTCTCATTCCATAAATGGCAACAATGTCTTGCTTACAGCGGATGGAATCACAATTCTGAATTCCATGAACAATCACATCATGTTTCATTGATAAATCATAAACCACCATGAAATTCATCAAAATTCACCAGTAAATTCCACATCATCGCCATCAAAAAATCATCAAAATTCAACCGTCCTCCTGAAATGCCAAAGCCAAGGCGGCCTCCCAGCCTAGGCCCAAGCAGTTGTTGAAACGAAAAAAACGGAGGGTCAAACGCTGTAGCATATAAACAAATTTAATTAATATAATTAATAAAATACAATATATATATATATATATGTGATGCATATGTATGTATGTATGTATGTATGTATGTATCTATGTATGTATGTATGTATGTATGTATGTAAATATATTTATATATTATGCATATGTATATATGTATATAAGTATATATGTATATGTATATACACATATATATATATATGTATATATATATTATGCATATGTATATATATAAGTATATATGTATATATGTATAGATGTATATATGCATATTTGTATATATGTATATATGTATATATGTATATATGTATAATATATATATATATAATATTTTTATATATACAGTTAAGTGACTAAGTGACATGTTAAATGGCGTTATGTACTAAACCTTGGTGTGACATAAATGATATTCTTGTTTATTTGTGTCTATCTGAATGCTACGAACATCTTATATAGTCTTACATATGTTATACTATGTTCATCTTATTATATTGTGAATATATATGATAAATATAGTGTTCATTCTCCAAAACAAAGAAACGTATAACTCGTTGTTCCACGATAAGATCTTTCTGCGATGCAATCCCGTTGGGCGCAGGATTTTTTTTTTTGGGAGATCGCTTTGTGCCATACTTTGCTGACGCTTTGAGACTGCAAAAGAAATTATTGAATGAACCATGATTTACAAATTGTATAATCAATGATTTTTGAGAATTGTTTAATCAACAATATCAATAGAAACCATATGGATTGCAATCATTGATTAAACTATAGTTATATCCTGCAAAGAACCATAAACTTGGTTGCGTCTCAAAACGCCACATCAAAGGAATCTATATAAGGCCTCGCCATCTGCCCGCCATCAAAAATCCAAGCAACATAGGTATGGAAATCCCTATGAACCATGAGCCATGACCATATGCACCGTGGCACATATATGCACACATTGGTTCAAGCATTCAATGAAGAAAAATGGTTCAGAATGCTCATGTAGCTTTTCCCAGAATGGAGGATATGATATATCCAGATCTTGTAAGATGAAGAATCATCTTCGGCCAATGAATGAAAATAAACCATGTTGGAAGCCATGGATTATCTGCATCAGATCTAACCCTCAGCCATTCCTGATGGATTTACCGAAAAAAATGAAATCTGAACACTGGACATATCCCTTTTATAGACAAGAAAACACGCTATCGCTTACATCAATGTTACATCTAGGATTCAAAGAAAACTGGCAGATGGATAATCTGTTATGGACACACAATGTGGTGCCCAGGGAAATTGAGGTTCTTTGAGTTTCCCTTGGGCGACATCAACCAACTTACAAGATCATGCCGCTAAGTTGACGAAATCGCAACGGTTTAAACCCGGTTTACTTACATGACTTGGTGTTCTATATGGTTTTATGGGTAACGTATTTTACACACCTACAAAAATTCAATGAAACAATCAAGACCATACAAACATGTCACTACAACGTGGGGACCCCCGTTTGCGAAATCTCTAAGTTGGTGAACATAACTCCAATGGCCAATAACTATAGTCTATGATACAACATATAACGAACTACTGCGGATGGTTGCGAAATTCTGCACCAGCTTGGATGGTTGAAACCCTGTAAATAATGGGATAAACCATGTATCAACTGGTTAATGTGGGCAAAACAATGCCAAAAACAACCCCCCAGTCATCACAATTTTTATAGGCGACATATTACAATTCCCAGTCATGGCTGGTAGAAATGGCATTGTTTTACCCACATTATTGGAAATAATCACACATTAATGATGAACATTTTGAATGAGAAACAAACACATTACAGACTTTGATAGTGAAACCATGTGATTCTATAATTAACCATGACCATCATCATTAAAATAATGAGCATTTCCCGCCAATTTCGCTTTTAGGTCTCCGGACGCCGTGCCTTTCCCAAGGAGACCACCTTGTGGGTGGCGTCTTTGGACATGCCATGGCGACGTTTTTCACAACGGCCGCCGGTGGAAGTGGTTAGCCTAAGAGTTGCAAATGGATGTTAGTTTGTGGATGTTAGTTTGTGGAGAAGCTATATAAAACATCACATCTTAGAGTTCAACATGGTTCAACACCCAGCTTTTTGGAGGACTCCCATGGTTTTGTTAAAAACATGCTGTTGTTCCCCCCCCAAAAAAATGAACATGATTGAAGTCTCTTGAGAAGTCTCGATGTGGCTGAGGGATGCGGGTCGGGTCTGATCATCTGCGGGTCTGTCGAGTAGGTCCGACCGATCACAGTGATCACAATGATCACTGGCTGATGAGAAAATCAAGTACAAGTAGGCAATCAGAAGCAATAATATACCATATAACAAACATTGACTATAGCTGACTATACCGTGATCATTACAATGAAGAGTCAACTCAAAGAGATTGTGATGTGAGTAATGCATAACTGTACTAAGGATCAAAGGAATGTTACCGATTCCCAGAGCCGTGGTGAAGTCCTTGCAATTAGATCCAAAACCAGCTGAGAGCCAAAAAGCATCGCAGCAGGTGCTGATTTCCAAGTGGCACAATGAATGGAATATAATGGAATGCAGCACCTAGCTTCCTGTAGGTCTCACCCTCTTGTAATCTTAGATCCTATTAGAAGTGGTCGTATTCCTTACTACACATGGTGATTTTCTGTTTTCCAGCTAGCCAAAAACTAAGAAATATGTCAACATCATCTGTCGAGAGTAGATGATGACCACCAAAATTCCTTTCTGAAACATCGGATAAACATCGGCTCCAAATGTTTTTTTTCCAAAGTCATGGGGGATCCCCAAGTCACCATGATTGTTGACCTATACCAAGTCATGGTCATCCACGACTTGGATGATTTGGGGGTAGCCCCCATGACTTACAATGTGAGGCCACTCAGCTATAAGATGGTTTATAAACCCCATTGACTACAGGTTTTAAGTATCAGAAACCATAGATGCCATAAGAGTTTTGTTCACCAACTTAGCGATTTCGGGGCCACGGGGGCCCTACATTGTAGGAAACCTCCAAATCTGCCTCGGTGCACATGTTTTTGTTGACCTCAGGAGCCTCGAAGAAGCCGATGAAAGGACTGGATTGCAAGACTCAGGCCGCGGATGTGGCAAGGCCCGGAACGAGTTTTTTCAGGTTTGGAACGAAGCATGGGTGCAAGATGGTGTAAGTGTATATTGATCAACCAGTGGCAAACAAACATCTGTTTCTTTTGTTTTTTGTCCAAAACATGTTCCCTACACCGCGGCCTGATCTTGGCTTCCCCAAGCGAGTTCAGCCGCAGTCGTTTTCAACTGGGGCTGCACACAGCCACAGATTTCAACGATGTTTGGAATCTTCAAAGGGTCGGCTCAAGACTTGGAAGCTCATAAATTCTTCCGTTGCTAGTTCCAGGCGTGATTTTTACACTGTTTTTCAATGTTTTCCACATGTCTCCTGTCTAAAAGTCATGAATTGGAGGGGCATCGCTTGAGACAGACCCAAGTCCCACGAACTATCACTGCCTTTCCAGGCTTCCCAGGCTTAGCTTTCAGCATTGCTGACATGGTCACCAGTCGGTGACCAGCTCGTTTCGTAAATTCGTCATGCGAAGAATTCAGGATCCGGTCCCAGACGAAATGCCAGTTCCTCACGACGAAAAACTTTCAGTCCACGGAGAGTTGTTGGGAGGGGAAATTTCAGCAATCTCCAGATCTTTTCCACGGAAAAAATCCATGTGAATACCCAGTAGCTGGATGGTTTATGTCAGGGAAAATCCATCTATAAATGGATGTTTTTTTGAGGGTACCCTTATTTTAGGAAACCCCCACATAGCTAATGTGAGTTTGCCATAGTTTACCTATAATCGGCTAATGTGGTTAAAGCAATAGGATTCACCACCAAAATCAACATTTTTATGAATGCTATTTCAACCATCAAGTCATATGGGTGGTCTATGACATGGCTTCACGAACTGGTTGGTGGTATACCTATCCCTCTGAAACATATGAAAGTCAGTTGGGATGATGACATTCCCAATATATGGAAAGTCATTTAAAATTCCATGGTTCCAAACCACCAACCAGATTTTACATCTTACCCTTTATAGTTGATTTACCCTTTTCCATATCATGGTGGATCTTTCCATAATATACCAGTTTACCAGAGGGTACATCAATTCATGTCAACACTGATTCATCAATATAAAAATATGAAAATCAGTTGGGGTTATAATTCCCAATATACGGAATTCATTGGGAAAAACCACCGATAATTGGGAATCAATTATATTCTTTTTCTTACATTATATGAATATACTGAATCAGTGATGAAAAAAATATTCCAAACCACCACTGGATTCATCAAGTCCCTCCTTGTGATGACAAAAATGGATACTCTGAGACCCCCACTGCGGCCAGAATCATGGTCAAGAGCACTCCCATCGCCTAGGTCGGTTGAAGATCTGGTGGTGTCAACCTCCAACCAGAACGTATTTGTAAGTTGGGATCGTCATCCCATGTTTTGGCGAACATCTTTGAAACCGCCAACTAGCCAAATATGACAAATTTCACTTGGTGCAGGCGCAATTCGGATTCTCTCTAAACTTTGATTCCCAAAAAGTCATGATTCCATATTTTCCCTCCAAAAACATATGTATGTTATATTGTATGTATATATATATATGTTTTCCCGAACATTTTCAGTTTAATCTTTTTCTTAGAATATATGTATGGGTTAGTCTGAAAATTTAACCCCCCAATTCCAATGGATTCTCATCATTTCCCGTCCGCAGAATCTCTTAGTGCTGATCTCGACCACATCCATGGCCGGAGATACCCTGCAAACAAACATTTCGGTGTTTCTGGGTCCATAAAGATATATATATATATTATTATGTATATACCCCCATGACGTTGTTTGTGCCAAAGAAATGATTTTGAATTCTTATAATCATTGTACATGACTATCTGGGTAAATGATCATATTTCACTAAGCTGAATTGTTGGGCCATAAAAGGGGATGATTTCCCTTACTAACCACTATTCCCAGTGAGGGAGGACAGTGAGGTCGTTATGATTTACTCATATATTATATATATATATATTATATACCCCTATGAAAGTGGCAACAAATACTAAACAAGTTCTCCAGTCAGTTTTCCCATAGGTTAATGTATATATATATATACATCCCCATCATGGATCATTAATAAATCGTGATTTGTTCATGGTTGATATCCCAATGTGCACCTATGTTTCATGGTTACATCCCGTTTTTTTTCATGATTTCGCATGGGTTAAATCATATTTTTCTCATGACTTTCCCTGGTTACATCATGTTACATCCAGTTTACCCAAGCAGGTGGATGCTAGTCCTCTGCGACCCAACTCAACTGGGCCCTTCTCACAGTGAGTGCAGCATGGCGCAGCAGCCGTAAGCCCCGGTGCGTTTTTAGCACCATTGGCACCTTCAAAGAGTGTGGGCACTTGGAGAATCCATCAAGGAACTCGTAAATACCATCTGGTTCTTTGACATAGCCATGGGAAATCACAAGTTTTAATAGGTAAACCCAGGTAAACCATCTATAAATGGGCCATTTTCCATGGCTATCTTAAATAACCAGAGGGTAACTCAAATGGCTGAAAACGCGGGGCCCGAATCGCCCTCATGTGGTAAACTTAATTCGTAGCTCCTTTGGGCTCTGAATAGAGATGGAAACCAAATGATTGCAGTAGTTCCAAGCCGCTCCTTCCAACTACTGGAGAGTACAGTGTAGCTTGTTTCCACAACTTCCACAACTGGTCATTCGTATGAAACAATCCATTTGTCTAGGTCAAGCATGATGATCCTTTCCCAAATGCTCAGACTTCAATGCAGTTGGCACATCTCCTCATTGGTGGTTTTAGCCCGCGGGAAAGCCATGGAAACCATTTGGTTTTGGGGATCACGGATCAGGCCGTCATAGTCCCAATCTCAGGGATGCTCCAAGGAGCAACATTTTCCAACTCGATTCCTCAATTTTTGGTGCCTTCATCAATTGGAAAATACACAAATGCGGCCTCCCCGGAAATGGGAGATCCCCGAGCTCGCTGGAATCCTGGATGGTTTATTTCATGGACCATCCCCGTATATAAATGGATGTCCGGGGTACCCCTATGATTTAGGAAACCACCAAATCAGCTTCATAACCCGCATCTACCTCCATGGTATTCATCTGACTAATGATGGTTCATGTCAACCCCCAATTTATCAACACCCATCACCCAATCTATGAACGCGATATCCCCAAAATAGTCACATATATATATATATTATTTCAAACTTTAGCCTCTTAACCTGTGGGCCTTGTGGACCATGGAGGGAACTATGGAAGGGACTATGGAAGAAACCAGGGCAATAAGGATATCTTATAGAAGGTGATGTTAGAAACCATGTCAAGGGAAAATTAGCAAGCTTTTGAAGAAGTAAAGAAACAAAACAGTGCACACAGCGAGGACACATCCAGATTCATCAATCTGGATTTGCACTCGAAGTCGTGAAGTACTTGACCTAAATTGAATTTGTATTGTGGACCGGTGATGAATTCAGTTTTGCTAATAACAAAAACTTGCCATGGATACTTTATACCTATCTGATCCACAGTCTATAGATCTAAAATTATGATTGTGAGATTGGGGTGAACTTATGTTTCGGTCTTTCTTTTGAAGACTAAATCTACTTAGGTAATCTTAGGTGCAAATAAAATTCTACTTAGGCGTCACGAACTGACGCCTAAGTAGAATTCTATTACTATTTGCGCCTTATTAGACCATGTCTTCCAAATTCTAGTCTGGGGCTGTTGGAAGACATAATTTATATTCATAATCTACTTATGCGCAAATAGAAATCTGGTCTGGGGCTGTTGGAAAACATAATCCATGATCTACTTAGGCGCAAATAGAATTCTGCTTGGGCGTCACAAGCTGACGCCTAAGTA